TGATCATGTACTAGTTTAGTGTTTTTGACTGATTCGCTGTAGACGTCAATGAGTGTCGATCAGCCAACCCCGTGCCCCCAAAACATGCCTCAACACTCCAGGGTCATACATGTGTACCGGTACAGTAAATGCTCTTGTTGTATGTAAATGGCAAACATGAAGACCTTAACCAAGCGAGATAGTTAGTTAGAGAACTTATTTACAATGGTGGTCTGGCAAGTGGCAATAAATCTGTACTTATTCCTGTGTTTATGTTGTGTTCCAGAGCTGGACCAGTCCTCTCCCTTTCTGCTGGACCAGTCCTCTCCCTTTCTGCTGGACCAGTCCTCTCCCTTTCTGCTGGACCAGTCCTCTCCCTTTCTGCTGGACCAGTCCTCCCTTTCTGCTGGACCAGTCCTCTCCCTTTCTGCTGGACCAGTCCTCTCCCTTTCTGCTGGACCAGTCCTCTCCCTTTCTGCTGGACACTGCTGTGATAGCAGTGGTTGGGGTTGTGGCTTTTATGTTCATGACGTCCACAGAGATCCAATTAAATTAAGATATAATTTATAATAATGATATAATCTAAGATATAATTCTCTGGGTACGTCATTATAATGTACCCGTCTGTCAGGGTTGGGGTCAATTCCGTCATTTCCATGTCAATTCAGGAAGTAAACTGAAATTCCAATTCCCCTCATTGAAAAGCATACTTCTTAAATTATGAAATTGACCCCAACCCTGGTAGATGTTGCTTAACAAATGTTATGTAACAACATTTCAAATACAAAATTTCTGTTCTTGAATATCCTTGCATGTATTTACCAAAGAAGAAGCCAGAACCGATGACCAGTGGTTGCTGCAAGAGGGACAGATACTATTTCATTACACTTCAGAATTTAAAGTTTTGTTTTAAAAATGTGACACACAGTATATCCTGATAAATAACAGTATGCACTTGACTGTACGGGATATGAAACTCAACTCCAGATTGTTAGAAAATATAAATAACCTTAAAATACTGAATTGTACATGTTTTAAAGATGAATAAAGGAACCCTATTTTAGACCACATTATACTGATCGTTATTATCATGGATGAGAGGAGCTTACCGCTTCAATTCGGACAGAATGTTTTGACTTCTGAAAACATGTTAACCTCTGAATGAAGTTGTCTGACTTTATTCATTTACTGCATTCAATTCATTAGGAACAGGACGTCACTCCTTTGTTTGGGGCATTGAGCGTTATGGCCTAGCGTTTGAAGTTCATAATAACCCTGAACGATAATCCATTGGCATCCGGAACGCATGTTCCTGTTCCTATAACGGCAATTCTCAGACTATGGCCACGTTCCAGGCCGACCATATTTGCAGTCGTGCTGCACGCAGAATGTTACGTTTGCGTGTCAGATTTCTATATCTATAAAATTCACACCCCTTGACTTTTTCCACATTTTGTTGTTACAGCAAGAATTTAAAATGGATTAAATTGAGATTTTGTGTCACTGGCCTACACACAATACCCCATAATGTCGAAGTGGAATAATGCTTTTAGAATTTTTTACAAATGAATAAAACTTAAATGTAGATACAGAGGGGTATGAATACTTTCTGAAGGCACTGTATGTATGTATATATAAATAAATCAAAGTCAAGGGTTGTGAATACTATAGATAAAGAAATCTGACACGCAAACATAAAATTCTGCCTGCAGCACGACTGCAATATAGCATACAGCCATGCAATCTCCATAGACAAACATTGGCAGTAGAACGGCCCGTACTGAAGAGCTCAGTGACTTTCAACGTGGCACCGTCATAGGATGCCACCTTTCCAACAAGTCAGTTCGTCAAATTTCTGCCCTGCTAGAGCTGCCCCGGTCAACTGTAAGTGCTGTTATTGTGAAGTGGAAACGTCTAGGAGCAACAACGGCTCAGCCGCGAAGTGGTAGGCCACACAAGCTCACAGAACGGGATCAGGAGTGCTGAAGCACGTAGCACATAAAAATTGTCTGTCTTCGGTTGCAACACTCACGACCGAGCTCCAAACTGCCTCTGGAAGCAACGTCAGCACAAGAACTATTAGTCGGGAGCTTCATGAAATGGGTTTCCATGGCCAAGCAGCCGCACACAAGCCTAAGATCACCATGCGCAATGCCAAGCGTTGTCTGGAGTGGTGTAAAGCTCGCCGCCATTGGACTCTGGAGCAGTTGAAACGCGTTCTCTGGAGTGATGAATCACCATCTGACAGTCCGATGGATGAATCTGGGTTTGGCGGCTGCCAGGAGAATGCTATCTGCCCGAATGCATAGTGCCAACTGTAAAGTTTGGTGGAGGAGGAATAATGGTCTGGGGCTGGTTTTCATGGTTCGGGCTCCTTAGTTCCAGTGAAGGGAAATCTTAATGCTACAGCATACAATGACATTCTAGATGATTCTGTGCTTCCACCTTTGTGACAACAGTTTGGACAATGCCCCCGTGCACAAAACGGTCCATACAGAAATGGGTTGTCAAGATCGGTGTGGAAGAACTTGACTGGCCTGCACAGAGCCCTGACCTCAACCCCATCGAACACCTTTGGGATGAATTAGAACACTGACTGCGAGCCAGGCCTAATCGCCCAACATCAGTGCCCGACCTCAGTTATGCTCGTGTCCCCGCAGCAATGTTCCAACATCTAGTGGAAAGCCTTCCCAGAAGAGTGGAGGCAGTTATAGCAGCAAAGGGGGGACCAACTCCATATTAATGCCCATGATTTTGGAATGAGATGTTTGACGAGCAGGTGTCCACATACTTTTTTGTCATGTAGGTGTACCTATATCTATCTAATCTAATCTAAATAGCTCTATTAGGAATTGCCAGGGGACCTCACAATACAATTTCACGATACTTAGGTGCTGATACGATATGTATTGTGATTGTATATGTGTTGCAATTGGACACTGTGTAATTTTATTGCTGCAGCGGGACAAGAAAAGTCCATGAGAGAAGAAGCGTTGATCAAATAAATACAAAGTGCTGAAAAATTGTCTCCCTATTTAAAAAATATGGAGAATAAGCTATGAAGGAAAAATACTGAAGTTTTGGTGCGGGGCTTTATATGATGTAGTTAGCTGATAAGTTCCAACACCTATGCAGGCGCTGTAAGATCAGTCAGGTATCTACAGCGTAGCGAGTCTGGAACATTCCCAGTATGTTGGATCTCCCTTTAAACCTGTTAAGCAACAACTGTTGGGTGTGAAACTGTGGGTGTGCGAGGGTCTCGAGTGGAGGCAACGACGATCTATTACATTGACAAGATAGCAGAGTGACCGCTCCAACAATGGAAATGCATGTCCTCAGTGAGTAAAGGCAAGTGAGATCAGGTGGGAACATTCTAGCCAATGAGAGGGCAGATACGTGTGTGTGAACAACACACACAAGTTGTTTTTCCTCAAAGTTGCCGGATTACAACGCGCATCGGTACATCTGTTAACAGCCTAAACATGACGTTAGATCAAACAAGCCTCACGTAATTCGACATCTCCATACCAAAAAAAGGCTTATTTCACGCTTTGCCGTTTCATCTCTGTTATAGGGTAACTAACCAAAACACTTTCTGGTAACGACCTAAATCTAGTGATCAGTGACCTCTGCCTGAGCCCTGAAGTCAAATAGGTCTCTCGGTCTTACTGGAAAGCTTACACGGTCCATGGTTTGTAGGCTACTTCAGGCAGGGCTTCTGTGGGTTAAAGCCACACTCCTTCATTTGTGCATCTCCACCAAAAGACAAAGGCACCCAACAAATGTAAACAATGGAGAAAATGCATCACATCTCATTTTAACATACAAATAAAATTGTAATTTCTGTGACATCTAATCAGCAACATGACTTCAAAGGGTTATCTACCTTGCCGTGACTAATCACTGCAGATTCAAGAGACCATAACCGCGCCAGAGCAGACAACACACAGATGGGTGGTTCAGCCTTTTGCCCCGAAACAACTCAATTCGTCGGGGCGTTCCACAGGGATGCCGGTTCATGTCGACTCCAATGCTTCCCACAGTTGTGTCAAGTTGGCTGGATGTCCTTTGGGTGGTGGACCATTCTTGATACACACGGGAAACTGTTTAGCGTGAAAAACCCAGCAGCGTTGCAGTTCTTGACAAACCGGTGCGCCTGGCACCTACTACCATACCCCGCTCAAAAGGCACTTAAATATTTTGTCTTGCCCATTCACCCTCTGAATGGCACACATACACAATCCATGTCTCAATTGTCTCAAGGCTTAAAATGTATTCTATAAACTGTCTCCTCCCCTTCATCTACACTGATTGAAGTGGATTTAACAAGTGACATCAATAAGGGATCATAGCCTTCACCTGGTCAGTCTGTCAATTGTTTTTGTACACTCAGTGTATTTACTATCAATCTACAGATGGAGTGTGACTGTGGCCCTTGAAGGGTACAATCATACTGCTTGTTATAGTGACATAAGGATTTCAAACACATAACATGGCTGTAAGAAGAAAGCAGTTATTGCACTTTCAGACTTCAATATTCTTCATTTAGTTTGATAAGGATTTTCATGCAAGGTATAGCTAATATCAACATACACACACACACACCTGGACATCACGATGGCTACGTATCCATGCAAAGCTACACATTTCATGGTCATGTATGGCTTATACATCATTATTATACACAACAGGAGTGCAATTTCAATAACATTTTACAGCAGTGCAATTACAACTAAAGGCTGTGCACAACAACATAATGCAATCATTTACAGCTGTTTTCTCGCCCAACTACATAGTTATTTTAAAGCTGTTCATAAAAATTGGTAGTGTCAGGAAGGAGGAGAAACGAATTATTGCTTAATCATCTACGGTTGGTTTATCACATCATGTTAAATAACAAATGACTGTAGCCTTCATTTCCAGGATAGTCCTTGCCACGCTGTCCCAGTATCCAGAGAAGATCTTTCAGATGACTAACTAGGTTTCAGGTACCGTGTCCCTGCTACACACACTTCTTCTGGTTAGTACTAAAACAGACTCAAAACGCAGCCATTTTTTATCCACGCTGAGTGAATCCTGCCCTTCCATAACCCATTCTAAGTCCAGGTGTCTTTCCTATATAAGCCATGCAAGCCATTTACAACGTAGTGCAAGAATCTATCAAGGTTAAGTAATAGGTGGTCCGGTTCTAAGGTGAGAGGAGACATGTAGCGGTGGCTTAGTGGTTAAGAGCGTTGTGCCAGTAACCGAAAGGTCGCTGGTTCTAATCCCAGAGCAGACTAGGTGAAAAATCTGTCAACGTGCCCTTGGGCAAGGCACTTAACCCCAATTGCTCAATGACAAAATAAAAAAGTAGGAGTGGTACGCCAGTACTATAGGACCGCTGTTTGAATGAAAAGTGAGCAGCATAGTTCTCTACGGTCAGAACCCCAACTTAAAAGATCTGTGTGAGTACTTCTCCTGTTAAGATTCAGCCCATATTAGTGTTTCTGTGGAAGACGTGTTGCAGTATATATATAGGTTTCCATCTGGGCCGGCTAAGACCAGCTGTGGAACCACTTGTCAATTATGCATAATACTAATACTGAAATTCTATGGTATATTGATTATTAATTTTCACAAATACGCTACCGTCCTATTGAAATATGTTATCCATTGCATGTCTTTGTGATAGAGCTATAATATTGTGATAGCGCTATAATATTGTGATAGCGCTATAATATTGTGATAGCGCTATAATATTGTGATAGCGCTATAATATTGTGATAGCGCTATAATATTGTGATAGTGCTATAATATTGTGATAGTGCTATAATATTGTGATAGCGCTATAATATTGTGATAGTGCTATAATATTGTGATAGTGCTATAATATTGTGATAGTACTATAATATTGTGATAGCGCTATAATATTGTGATAGTGCTATGTACTTTATAAACTAGCACTAACTGCTAGCCTCGTACAAACCATACTGATCTCACAAGCTTACATTGGTTCTCGCTACCGTGTAGCTCGCGAGATCAGGATGGTTCGTACGAAGCTAATCTAATTTGCAAAGCTAGTGATGTCATGTTACTGTAGCATTTCTGCTTCCCTTGTCAGATTACACTTGAAATCACTCCCCTACTCAATAAATCAGCATGTCCTCCTGAGGACTTTTCACACTACCGAGCCAAACCAAGCCATTCCAGTTTGGTTTGGGTTTGGTTGTCAGGACAGCGTAAAACGGCTACTGGTGATTTTGCTCTCTGTCTCTGTACAGTTGATTGGGGTCTCCTGTCTTCTAGCCCAGGGTTGTGTTCAGTAGGCATGAAACGGAAGAAAGCGTCCCTAAACGCGTGGTAATATCTGAACTTGTCCAATAGGAAGCGCTTGCAAAACGTGGTCCGTTCCACAACGTTTTGTTACGGTGTGCCCTAATGAACATGACCCAGGTCTCCTCCCTCGTCCGTCTATCCCTGGTCTGTGTCTGTGAGGTAGAAGCCCAGCTTGGCCACAGTCATCTCCCTCCGTAGACGTGTCACTTCCCAGAACATCTGTTCCGCTGGGGGGGGGGGGGGGGGGGGGGTCAGAGACAAAAGACATTAGAGTTCCATTAGTTGAAAGGGTTTCAGAACACCAGACAAATCTGCTGTCTACATTGACAAAGAGTAATGTATTGCCACTGTCACCATTACTGTTCAAATGGGTCGATTGTTGACCTCAGTGTCTATCTGTCAGAGGAAGGACGTCAGCCTTACCGTCATGTCTGACCAGGCCCTGCTGGATGTAGCGGATGTAGGTGAAGAAATTACAGGCAGCCGTGATCTGGAGGGGCGGAAATTGGGAAGGTTTTCACACCTTCAAAACAAAAGTTCTCTCACGTAGGCCTACACGATCAAAGTATTTATGAACACAAAAAGGTAGCCATATTCATCAGTCTATAGATGTTGAGGATGAATCAATAAATGAACGTTATGCATCAATGTTCAGAACGCGTAATGTTGTTTAAAATGATTAGAAAACAACAAACGTGGTTGCTAGGTACCCGTGCCCTGCTGGAGGGAGAGATGTAGTAGTAACTCTCTCTGTCTCCAAGTTTGATGCGATGCTTACAGGACCGGGACACGCCGCTCAACGCACACTTCCTGTCAGAGGCAGAGAAACAAACACTACTCACTAATTTATCTATGGAACTCTATGGGCTCTATGGGCTCTATGGAACTCTATGGGCTCTATGGGCTCTATGGAACTCTATGGGCTCTATGGAACTCTATGGGCTCTATGGAACTCTATGGGCTCTATGGAACTCTATGGGCTCTATGGAACTCTATGGGCTCTATGGAACTCTATGGGCTCTATGGAACTCTATGGGCTCTATGGAACTCTATGGACTCTATGGAACTCTATGGGCTCTATGGGCTCTATGGAACTCTATGGGCTCTATGGAACTCTATGGGCTCTATGGAACTCTATGGGCTCTATGGAACTCTATGGACTCTATGGAACTCTATGGACTCTATGGAACTCTATGGACTCTATGGAACTCTATGGAACTCTATGGAACTCTATGGAACTCTATGGAACTCTATGGACTCTATGGAACTCTATGGACTCTATGGGACTCTATGGACTCTATGGGCTCTATGGAACTCTATGGAACTCTATGGAACTCTATGGAACTCTATGGAACTCTATGGAACTCTATGGAACTCTATGGAACTCTATGGGGCTCTATGGGCTCTATGGGCTCTATGGAACTCTATGGGCTCTATGGAACTCTATGGGCTCTATGGAACTCTATGGGCTCTATGGAACTCTATGGGCCGGTTTCTGGACCTCATTCATCTATGGAACTCTATGGTGCCGGTTTCCAGACCAAATTAAGACTAATCCTTAGGAGGAAACCTAGCTTAATCTGGGTCCGGGAAATTGGCCTTACATGTAAAAGATATAGAAAAATGTCATTGTTAGCTTTTTAACATTAGAAACAAAGAATGAACAAAAGCGTGGTCTGAACACTGGAACAAGACATGCCTGCCTGGTTAGACAAAGTGTTAGAGGGGGCATTCTGACCAGAGGGAAGAGGGAAGGGTTAACACACAGTAGGTAGCCACAGAGTACTATGCACAGCCACACCATAGAACAAGTTATTGTTGTGGAAAAAAGGAAAGTAATCAAATGATTGGCTCCTGAAGTCACTCCTAAAGTCACTTACGTCAATACTGCTGCTCTCGGGCCACTGGGAAAAGAATTCAATCAAATTGTGATTAGGAAGCATGAGGTGAAGCAGTGTAGCCCATTGAGTCAACCCACTAGGACTCAGAAAACCCGAAAACAGATCTGAAGAGAAAAACAAAAACTACTGTATAGAAAGTCAGACCGAAAGAATCAGGCTCTAGACAGAAACGACACAATTTGAAGTCACCATCACTGGGCGTCGACACGGTGGGAACATGTGGGTCTGAGCAAGTGTGATGTCATTCACGTAAACGTTCCATTATTGTTTTTATGTACAGTGGGGGAAAAAGTATTTAGTCAGCCACCAATTGTGCAAGTTCTCCCACTTAAAAAGATGAGAGAGGCCTGTAATTTTCATCATAGGTACACGTCAACTATGACAGATAAATTGAGAAGAAAAAAATCAAGAAAATCACATTGTAGGATTTTTAATGAATTTATTTGCAAATTATGGTGGAAAATAAGTATTTGGTCAATAACAAAAGTTTCTCAATACTTTGTTATATACCCTTTGTTGGCAATGACACAGGTCAAACGTTTTCTGTAAGTCTTCACAAGGTTTTCACACACTGTTGCTGGTATTTTGGCCCATTCCTCCATGCAGATATCCTCTAGAGCAGTGATGTTTTGGGGCTGTCGCTGGGCAACACGGACTTTCAACTCCCTCCAAAGATTTTCTATGGGGTTGAGATCTGGAGACTGGCTAGGCCACTCCAGGACCTTGAAATGCTTCTTACGAAGTCACTCCTTCGTTACCCGGGCGGTGTGTTTGGGATCATTGTCATGCTGAAAGACCCAGCCACGTTTCATCTTCAATGCCCTTGCTGATGGAAGGAGGTTTTCACTCAAAATCTCACGATACATGGCCCCATTCATTCTTTCCTTTACACGGATCAGTCGTCCTGGTCCCTTTGCAGAAAAACAGCCCCAAAGCATGATGTTTCCACCCCCATGCTTCACAGTAGGTATGGTGTTCTTTGGATGCAACTCAGCATTCTTTGTCCTCCAAACACGACGAGTTGAGTTTTTACCAAAAAGTTATATTTTGGTTTCATCTGACCATATGACATTCTCCCAATCCTCTTCTGGATCATCCAAATGCACTCTAGCAAACTTCAGACGGGCCTGGACATGTACTGGCTTAAGCAGGGGGACACGTCTGGCACTCCAGGATTTGAGTCCCTGGCGGCGTAGTGTGTTACTGATGGTAGGCTTTGTTACTTTGGTCCCAGCTCTCTGCAGGTCATTCACTAGGTCCCCCCGTGTGGTTCTGGGGTGAGATCTTGCGTGGAGCCCCAGATCGAGGGAGATTATCAGTGGTCTTGTATGTCATCCATTTCCTAATAATTGCTCCCACAGTTGATTTCTTCAAACCAAGCTGCTTACCTATTGCAGATTCAGTCTTCCCAGCCTGGTGCAGGTCTACAATTTTGTTTCTGGTGTTCTTTGACAGCTCTTTGGTCTTGGCCATAGTGGAGTTTGGAGTGTGAATGTTTGAGGTTGTGGACAGGTGTCTTTTATACTGATAACAAGTTCAAACAGGTGCCATTAATACAGGTAACGAGTGGAGGACAGAGGAGCCTCTTAAAGAAGAAGTTACAGGTCTGTGAGAGCCAGAAATCTTGCTTATTTGTAGGTGACCAAATACTTATTTTCCACCATAATTTGCAAATAAATTCATTAAAAATCCTACAATGTGATTTTCTGGAGAAAAAAAATCTCAATTTGTCTGTCATAGTTGACGTGTACCTATGATGAAAATTACAGGCCTCTATCATCTTTTTAAGTGGGAGAACTTGCACAATTGGTGGCTGACTAAATACTTTTTTCCCCCACTGTATGTTTGTTTGTTTGTTTGTTTGTTGTAAAAGTAAACTAAAATATTCCATCAAAGAAAGACCAAATCTGGTTCCCATAATTTGTCATGGAGTCATGGATAATGATATTCATCATAGAAGACAGGTGTAGTCACCAAGAGGAGAGAAACTGTTCATTTTAATTTGGAAATAAGAGGTGAGAGGAAGAGCGAGTGATGGGCGTGGTGCAGTTGTGATTACGGTTGTCACGACAGTTATCATGGCAAGGAAACAAAACATGAAGCGGACTACATTTCCTGAGGAAAACAGTCTCAATGTTGTAAATAAACAACCTTATAATGCTATAAAAAAAAAAAAACGTTGAGTGATAACTCACTTGGGCCCGCCACACTCTATGGCGTTGGCTTTGACCATGGGTAAAGCTGACATGGCCACTGGTTCGATGGTCAGCGAGTTGTTCTCCACGGCACTCTGTACCGACTGAGACAACTGTTGACAGAAGAGGAGTAATAATAATAAACATTAGATTAAAAACAAGATATACACAAAGCACAGATCCATCTACAAAATATAAATTGATTCTTGTGACTGACTTATTTCATATGCATTGTCAGTTGTGAATTGTGCCATTGTGCATTTATTGTCTAATCTGAATGTTATAGGCGAAGTTGCCTCTCAGAAAAATAACATTATATTCTGGTATGAGCAGTTATGCTATTCTGTGCATTCGGAAAGTATTCAGACCCCTTTACTTTTTCCACATTTTGTTATGTTACAGCCTTATTCTAAAATTGATTAAATATTTGGGGGGTTTTTCTCAGCAATCTACACACAATACCCCATAATGACAAAGCGAAAACATTTTGCTAATTTATAAAAAAATAAAACAGAAATACCTTATTTACATAAGTATTCAGACCCTTTGCTATGAGACTCAATATTGAGCTCAGGTGCATCCTGTTTCGATTGATCATCCTTGATGTTTCTACAACTTGATTGGAGTCCACCTGTGGTAAATTCAATTGATTGGACTTGATTTAGAAAGGCACACACCTGTCTATATAAGGTCCCATAGTTGACAGTGCATGTCAGAGCAAAAACCAAGCCATAGTGCTCCGAGACAGGATTGTGTTGAGGCACAGATCTGGGGAAGGTTACCGGCCAAACTGAGCAATCGGGGGCTAAGGGCCTTGGTCAGGGAGGTGAATGGGCTCCAGAGTTCCTCTGTTGAGATGGGAGAACCTTCCAGAAGGACAACCATCTCTGCAGCACTCCACCAATCAGGCCTTTATGCTAGAGTGGCCAGACGGAAGCCACTCCTCAGTAAAAGGCACATGACAGCCCACTTGGAGTTTGCCAAAAGGCACCTAAAGACTCTCAGACCATGAGAAACAAGATTCTCTGGTCTGATGAAACCAAGATTGAACTCTTTGGCCTGAATGCCAAGCGTCACGTCTGGAGGAAACCTGGCACCATCCCTTCGGTGAAGCATGGTGGTGGCAGCATCATGCTGTGGGGATGTTTTTCGGCGGCAGGGACTGGGAGACTAGTCAGGATCGAGGCAAAGATGAATGGAGCAAAGTACAGAGAGATCCTTGATGAAAACCTGCTCCAGAGCGCTCAGGACCTCAGACTGGGGCGAAGATTCACCTTCCAACAGGACAACAACCCTAAGCACACAGCCAAGACAACGCAGGAGTGGCTTCGGGACAAGTCTCTGAATGTCCTTTAGTGGCCCAGCCAGAGCCCGGACTTGAACCCGATCAAACATCTCTGGAGAGTCCTGAAAATAGCTGTGCAGCAACGCTCCCCATCCAACCTGACAGAGCTTGAGAGGATCAGCAGAGAAGAATGGGAGAAACTCCTCAAATACAGGTGTGCCAAGCTTGTAGCGTCATACCCAAGAAGACTCAAGGCTGTAATCGCTGCCAAAGGTGCTTCAACAAAGTACTGAGTAAAGGTTCTGAATACTCATGTAAATGTGATTTTTTCAATTTTTTTATTTTTTATAAATTAGCAAAAATGTCTAAAACATGTTTTTGCTTTGTCATTATGGGGCATTGTGTGTAGATTGATGAGGGGAAAAAAGAAACAAAAATTCATCAATTTTAGAATAAGGCTGTAACCTAAACAAAAAGTAGAAAAAGTCAAGGGGTCTGAATACTTTCCGAAGGCACAGAGAAACACAAAGGTACATGCCTCAGATCTGGTGAAGGAGAGACAGGGGCCGATGTCCTCTCTGTAGATACGGCCCAGGAAGGCTGACGTTCTGTCCAGACTCGGTCGGTCTCTCCAGGTCAGGAACTCTGCATACAGCACATTGTCCATCTGAGGACAGGAGATACTGTATAATTGTCATGAGAAATTATTTTATTAATTATTTTTCCTGTATTTGATTTACTGTGTATATGGATTAATATGTAATAAACATGATTGTATTTGCGGGAAGAAAGGCGCAGAAAGATGCATTCCCTTGGGGAAGGGAAACAGGAGTTAACCACGTACACTACCGTTCAATAGTTTAGGGGTCACTTAGAAATGTCCTTGTTTTCGAAAGAAAAGCAATTTTGTTGTCCATTAAAATAACATCAAATTGATCAGAAATACAGTGTAGACATTGTTAATGTTGTAAATGGCTATTGTAGCTGGAAACGGCTGATTTTTTCTGGAATATCTACATCGGCGTACAGAGGCCCATTATCAGCAACCATCAGTCCTGTGTTCCAATGGCACGTTGTGTTTGCTAATCCAAGTTTAGCATTTTGAAAGGCTAATTGATCATTAGAAAACCCTTTTGCAATTATGTTAGCACAGCTGAAAACTGTTGTGCTGATTAAAGAAGCAATAAAACTGTCCTTCTTGAGACTAGTTGAGTATTTGGAGCATCAGCAATTGTGGGTTCGATTACAGAATCAAAATGGCCAGAAACAAATAACTTTCTTCTGAAACTCGTCAGTCTATTCTTCTTCTGAGAAATGAAGGCTATTCCATGCAAGAAATGCCAAGAAACTGAAGATCTCGTACAACGCTGTGTACTACTCCCTTCACAGAACAGCGCAAACTGTCTCTAACCAGAATAGAAAGAGGAGTGGGAGGCCTCGGTGCACAACTGAGCAAGAGGACAAATACGTTAGAGTCTCTAGTTTGAGAAACAGGCGCCTCACAGGTCCTCAACTGGCAGCTTCATTAAATAGTACCCGCAAAACACCAGTCTCAATGTCAACAGTGAACAGGCGACTCCGGGAACCATAACTTAGACACTGATCATACAGTAAAGTAGGGATGAAATAGCGACTATAGAAACGCCTGCATATCCAAAGCTTCCCAACCTGTCAATGGCTAAGCTTAATCACATATAGGCCTTGTAATGAAGCCATTTTTATATAAATCTGTTGTCACAAAGGGATTTACAGTAACCCCATCCTTAGCCTCTTCCAGGCTTTCACCTCACCTTCGGTATGAAAGCCTGTGGGAACAGAGGCTAACAGAAGGTGGAGTAGCCAAGCCCTCCAGTTGGAATAGGTACGTTCAAACAGAGGAGGAGATTCAAAACCGAAAGCCAATCATTTTCACTGGTTCCCACATGGGGTAACAAATTATATTAAAAAAACATGTATATATTTTTTCATTTTGAAATATCAATTAAAATTATATATAGTATGCAAGCAATGCTAGCGCCATAAATTAACTCTGGATAATTTGAGCTTCTGAAAAGGGGTGGTATTATTATTTACTCACAGCCAATCAGACGATGGCAATCAGCGCTCCACTCAAACCTACTTTTCCAATATGAACTCTGGCGAAGCCGAGGCTACCCCATCCTAGACCTCACAGAGCAAGCAGAAACACAGTGGCAAGGACAACCTCCCTAGAAGGAAGAAACCTAGAGAGGAACCAGAGGGGTGTGGTTACCTGTCGGCTGAGAGAGCTTGGCCCCTCCCCCTGCTCTGCCCAGTAGGGTTCATAGGTCACAGAGATCGAGTGGCCCGGAACCAGACACAAAATCAGAGAGAGGAAGCGACAGGAGGAAAGGCAAGAGAGAGTGAGAGAGGAGAAGGAAGAGAGAGGAAAAAAGAATCAGCATAGAGAGAGTAGATGGAGAAGATGGGTAAAGAAAGAGATGAGAGAGCAGGGAACGATGAGAGAGCGGAAAGAGAGAGAGAGGGAGACCAGAGGAGATAAGAGAGAGGAGAGGGTAAGGGAGAGTAGGAGAGTGACGAGGGAGAGAGGAGGAAAGGAGAGCAGAGAGGAGGGAAGGAGAGAGATAGAGGAAAGAGCGAGAGAGCGAGAGAGAAGAGCGAGAAGAGGAAAGGAGAGAGAAGAGGGAAAGGAGAGAGAGGGAGAGAAGAGGGAAAGGAGATGAGCAAGTGAAAGAAAACAGGAAGTAAAGGAGAGGCAAAAAATAACCACATGATGATAGGGAGAGGAGGAGGAGGATGATGATGTGGAGATAGGGAGAGGAGGAAAGAAACACATTCACAGGGTTATAGTGGGAAGCCGTAGAAGAGTTAGTGCAGAAACAAGGTTTGAATTGCTGTTAGTGGTCACAGTGGGTCGATTGATTGGGAGAGTGCAACCAAAAGCAGACCCAAGATTAGATAGATTATGGCGCACACATTCTCAAAGTACATAAGTGTGTACAACACAACAGTATGGCCGTGTCCGAAATCTGCCTTGCCTACTAATTACTAAAACGACATACTGTGTACTAATAATACTACTACATAGACTACATGACCAAAAGTATGTGGACACCTGCTCGTTGAACATCTCATTCCAACATCATGGGCATTAATATGGAGTTGGTCCCCCCTTTGCTGCTATAACAGCCTCCACTCTTCTGGGAAGGCTTTCCACTAGATGTTGGAACATTGCTGCGGGGACTTGCTTCCATTCAGCCACAAGAGCATTAGTGAGGTTGGGCCCTGATGTTGGGCGATTAGGCCTGGCTCGCAGTCGGCGTTCCAATTCATCCCAAAGGTGTTCGATGGGGTTGAGGTCAGGGCTCTGTGCAGGCCAGTCAAGTTCTTCCACACCGATCTCGACAAACCATTTCTATAAGGAGCTCGCTTTGTGCACAGGGGCATTGTCATGCTGAAACAGGAAAGGGCCTTCCCCAAACTGTTGCCACAAAGTTGGAAGCACAGAATCGTCTAGAATGTCATTGTATGCTGTAGCATTAAGATTTCCCTTCACTGGAACTAAGGGGCCTAGCCCGAACCATGAAAAACAGCCCCAGACCATTATTCCTCCTCCACCAAACTTTACAGTTGGCACTATGCATTGGGGCAGGTAGCGTTCTCCTGGCATCCGCCAAACCCAGATTAGTCCGTCGGACTGCCAGATGGTGAAGCGTGATTCATCACTCCAGAGAACGCATTTCCACTGCTACAGAGTCTAATGGCGGCGAGCTTTACACCACTCCAGCCGATGCTTGGCATTGCGCATGGTGATCTTAGGCTTTTGTGTGGCTGCTCGCCCATGGAAAACCCATTTCATGAAGCTCCCGACAAACAGTTATTGTGCTGATGTTGCTTCCAGAGGCAGTTTGGAACTCGGTAGTGAGTTTTGCAACCATTTACATCATTTAGCAGACGCTCTTATCCAGAGCGACTTACAAATTGGTGCATTCAACTTATGATAGCCAGTGGGACAACCAACTTCTTTTTTTATTTTATTTTTATTTATTTTTTTATCGGGGGTGGGGGAAGAAGGATTACTTTATACTATTCCAGGTATTCCTTAAAGAGGTAGGGTTTCAAGTGTCTCCGGAAGGTGGTGAGTGACCGTAGAGGTAGGGGAGCTAGCAGGCCAGAGGTGGATGAACGTAATGCCCTCATTTGGGTGTAGGATCAGAGCCTGAAGGTAAGGAGGTGCCGTTCCCCTCACAGCTCCGTAGGCAAGCACCATGGTCTTGTAGTAGATGCGAGCCTCAACCGAGGACAGATGATTTTTACGCGATTCAGCACTCGGCGGTTCCGTTCTGTGAGCTTGTGTGGCCTACCACTTCGCGGCTGAGCCGTTGTTGCTTCTAGGCGTTTCCACTTCACAATAACAGCACTTACAGTTGACCGGGGAAGCTCTAGCAGGGCAGAAATTTGACGAACTGACTTGTTGGAAAGGTGGCATCCTATGACGGTGCCACGTTGAAAGTCACTGAGCTCTTCAGTAAGGCCGTTCTACTGCCAATGTTTGTCTACGGAGATTGCATGGCTGTGTGCTCGATTTTATACACCCGTCAACAACGGCGTGGCTGAAATAGCCGAATCCACTCATTTGAAGGGGTGTCCACATACCTTTGTATATATAGTGTCCTATTTAGAAAGTACTGTTTAGTAAAAACTAATGCAGTAAGCAGCAAATATCAACATACTACTCAGAAGGCGTCATCTAATGCACAATCGCCTGTTCATCTCCTGTTCTGATTATCAGCTGCTGTCGAACACACGTGGGTGTGAAAAGGCAATTATTTTCCTCAATAGAAAATTACTGGGATGAATTTAGTGCAGAAAATTCTACTAGACGAAGAGCTGAAAAGAGTACGGGCCTGTCTAGACTTGACAGTTAATGCAGTTTTTGTATTCTGATCACGGAGTTCTGATCATGGAGTTCCGAACACATCATGCGTCTACACTTATATTTAAACGTGTCCACATTGTGTCCAGATTCCCTTTTCCCACGCTATATTCAAATGCCAGTATGCATTCTGCATTGGTCCAGCGTCGTCCAAGGTAGGGGAGGGTTTGGCCGGCAGGGATGTGAGTTCGTTTCCCACGGGGGGCCAGTATGAAAAAAATATATATAAAACATGTATGCATTCACTAACTGTAAGTCGCTCTGGATAAGAGCGTCTGCTAAATGACAAAAATGTAAAAACATGTAAATGTAGAATAGGCAAAATATGACAACAACTTGATGGCAGTAGCTAACTACTTTAGCTAACCTCTGTAGTTAGCCAGCAAGCAAAGCTAAAGGGATTGCAAACACGTTACCATAACTCTAGCCAAACCCAAAATAGTTTTTCCTAAATATTAGCTAGCTGGTTAGCATTTATGAGGCCAGCAAACATGTTACTTACAGGCTTGGAAACGTATTTCCTCTACCGCTATAACGAAAAAGGTGCCTCTCGCTCCCAAAACACACGGTTTCTGGAGACTTGTGGGCGGAGTGCTAATGACGTTGCCCACTGTATGCGCTTTCAGTAGCCTGATCGCGTCCAGACTGCGGAGAAATCAGCACACAATGCGACCAGAACGGAACACAATCGGATCACAATGCGACACTTGTGTGTCTAGACTGGTCTTTTCAATGCGATCTTTGTATTCTGATAGCAGAAGTCGCATGTAAGTGTCAAGTGTAGACACAGCCTATGACATCCTGGCATTTTAAAGCATACTACATTAACTACATTTCATATACTATAAAACGTTCTATTTTCGCATACCTAAAAAGCCAACTACTTAGAACGCAAGTATGGGTATTCAGACACGGCTGGTGTGTTGTCTGAAGGCAACTGGGCCTACCTCTTTGTCCTCTGTGACTGGCTGCAGGGAGACAGAGGGCGGGTCTAAGTGCCCACCAGAGGCCAATGGCAGGGCCCAGCTGGCGCTTTTGTTGCGTGTGTGTCCCCCTCCATGGCGGGGGCTGGCCCCCCTGGACCTAGTGCCCGGGGAGAGGAGCTGAGGGTGGGCCTGACGGTTGGGGGAAGAGGGGGTGGAGGTCAGGACCATGGTCTTCAGGGCTGACACCTCTGCCTGCAGGACATCAATCTGGGGAGAGACAAGAACACGGGGGGGGTGTGGTTATAGACAGTAGTTATACATCGTACCCAAACCGACGCACAACAGCATGGGAGCAGCACAGGGTCAGCCGTAGAGCAGCGTCCATGGAGCAGGTTAGGGGTCATGTGACTTGCTCAAGGGCACAAAGGCAGTAGGTGGCAAATGGGATACTGGTGGCTCACTCATGCCAAATGTTCCCCGTCGGCCCTGGGATTAGAACCGGCAACCCTCCAGAACCAGGCACAACTCTAACAGATTCTTATAGGTTTTCCTGCATTTAGCAGGTACAGGTAACCTGTGTGGCTCTTTCGGTAAGAGTTCGGCAAGGTTGTGGGTTCAATTCCCGGATGGGATCGCAGACTGACCTTGCCCTGAGCCTCCTTCAGCTGCTTCTCTGCTGCAGCTTGTTTCACGTTGGCCTCATGCACCATCCTGTGAGCTTCCTGTGGGAACAGGAAGACAACAGTGTTACAACAACCATGCAGGGGCCACACTTCTCAATGTCAAGATGTACTGGTACCATCACGGAGCACTCCCACCCAGGACAGATTTCAGGGTTTTGTTGCAGGCTGGCTGGGTAGGCTGCGGAGCTCCTCCGTTGCCAGGGGTATGGCACACGACTACCTCAAACAGATGGAGTGAGTGTGCCCAGGGAGAGGTCACACCAGGATAACTCAAGAGACGGAGTGAGCCTCGCGCAGGGAGGGATGGCAACAGGCCCCAAGACGGCAGTGAGCTCGCCGTCAGGGGAGAGGTCAGTACCTCAAAGATGGCAGTGAGCTCTCCAGGTAGTGATTGAGGACAGACGCAAATCTAGCTCAGGTCTGGGAGGGAGATGGAGAGAGGGGAGAGGAGGAGGAGAGGAGGGGGGAGGTGGAGGAGGGAGGGAGGGGGGAGAGGTGGAGGAGAGGAAGGGGAGAGGGGGGGAGGGAGGAGGAGGGTGGAGAGGAGGGAGAGAGGGAGGAGAGGGAGAGGTGGAGGAGAGGGGAGAGGTGGAGGAGAGGAGGGGAGAGGTGGAGGAGAGGGGGGGAGAGGGGAGGGAGGAGTGGAGGAGAGGGGGGAGAGGGGAGGAGGAGGGGAGAGAGGAGAGGGGAGGAGAGGGTGGAGGAGAGGGAGAGGTGGAGGAGAGGAGGGGGAGGAGGGAGGAGGAAGGAGGGAGAGGGGAGGAGAGGGAGAGAGGGGAGGAGAGGAGGGAGAGGGGGAGGAGAGGAGGGAGAGGGGGAGGAGAGGGAGAGGGAGAGGGGGAAGGGGAGGAGAGAGGGGAAGGTAGGAGGAGGAGAGAGAGGGGGAGAGGGGGGAAGGAGAGGGGGGAGGAGGAGGGGAGGGGGGAGGTGGGAGAGGGGAGGAGAGGAGGGAGAGGAGGGAGGGGAGAGGTGGAGGAGAGGGGGAGAGAGGGGAGTGGAGGAGAGGAGAGAGGGGAGGAGAGAGGGAGAGGGGGAGGAGAGGAGGAGGGGGAGGAGGAGGAGAGGGGGAGGGAGGAGGGGGAGAGGGGAGGAGAGGAAGAAGGTGAGAAGAGAGGGGAGGAGAGGTGGAGGAGAGGGGGAGAGGGGGGAGGAGAGAGGAGGGAGGAGAGAGGGGAGGAGGGGAGGACAGGAAAGACATGAGAAGAGAGGGGAGAGGTGGGAGGAGAGGGGGAGGAGAGGTGGCGGAGGGAGAGGAGGAGGAGAGGGTGGAGGAGAGGACGAGGGTGGAGGAGAGGAGAGAGGTGGAGGAGAGGAGAGAGGGGAGAGAAGGAGAGCAGGTGGAGGTAGGAGAGAGGTGGAGGAGAGGAGGGGAGAGGTGGAGGAGAGGTGGAGGAGAAGAGAGGGGAGGACAGGGAAGAGATGGAGAAGAGAGGGGAGAGGTGGAGGGGAGGGGAGAGGTGGAGGGGAGGGGAGAGGTGGAGGGGGGAGGTGGAGGGGGAGAGGGGGAAGGAGATGGGAGATGGGAGAGAGGTGGAGGAGAACTGTGTCAGTATGCAGCAGCATACTGTAGGACTAAACCTATAGGGATGACACCCTTTTCCAGGTCACGCATTGTTATTGATTCAAGCAACTGCCATTCAGTAGAGATGGGCGTCAGAGAGATCAGTGTGTGTGTGTGAGAGTCTGTAATAAGGGTCCCCCACCTTCTGTGCAGCGTCCAGTTGTTCCCGTAGGATCTCTGATCCCTTTTCTCTGATCTCCAGGGAAGAGCTCCGGAGGCGGGACACGTTGTCCTCATGCTCCCCGCCCCGGGCACCCTCCAGCTGGGTAGCACCCTCCAGCCTGCTGCCCTCCCTGCCCCTGACCTGGCTCCGGACCTGGGTAACAGCTCCCTCCTGGGGCCTGGTGGACCTGGGGTCAGCCGGCCCTCCACCCTCACCCCTGGGGCTTGGAACTGGCTCCAGGTCTACCAACCTTTAGAAAACATAAAAATACATGATATTTAATAGGGCTATCAGGAAGGAATTGGTTGTTTTAGACTCACTAAATGTGTTTATAGTTAGGCCTACTATAGTTTGAAACCTAGTCCATACAGTAGGCTAGACAGTCTGCATGAAAATGAATGATGCAATATTGTTTCCCCCTTTTTATAGCGAATTGAAGGAAAGTTGGCCGGTGCACAGTGCACAAATCGACTCTAGGGGGTTAACTTTCTCTCTGCCTTCAAGAGGGGTACAACTGATGTGTTTTGCCTGCGAGGTGCCCCCCAACCAAATATTGATTAGGGCCCACAAAAGGCTAGTCCTTGAATCAGTTACCCAACCAAGGCAGGGCCCCCCAGTTACCCACGTGGGCCCCCCTACCTCCCCCCATCTGACGATTAGCAGAGCAGCAGCAGGGCGTCTATCCTTATTGAGAGCGGCCTCCTGCGGTTGCAGTAAAAAATTAAAAAATAATAATAATAATAATCTCTGCCTCAGGGCTTCAGCCCCTGCATTTATCAGGCCCTGTCAAAAACAATAACATTACAATAGTCACATCTGTCATTAAGACTAGTCACAACATGTGAGGCCGAACTAGCCTACACAACTTTTTCATAACTTTTGCTAATGCCATAATGTCAGTCTGACAGCACAACATTTCACCGGATTTCCCTTCCCAGCTCCCCGCACGTACAGTCTCACCACCCGGCTGGATGATTCACCACGTACCGCCGCCGTGACCGCGATGGCATCTAACTCAATGTTCCCAAGAATTCCATTAATTGTTAGTGTCCAATGTTGACTTGCTGTCGATATCATTCAGAAAGACCATTGCAATAGTTTCAAAACAATGTTAGCCTACTATTAAAGAATGTTGAGGACAACGCTATGGACTACAATGAATGTTTCATCGAGTCATCAAACGAGATAAAGTTAGGCGAATGTTATTTCGTTACTGATGAATTGTCTCGTTGTGAACGCTGTTTGCGATGCGCTGTATTATATTTTCCATTCCGATAGAGAAAAGGAGGAATTGTGTCGTCGTCATCATCCATCTGCCATAGGTCACATGATGACACATCCTCACGTCCCAACCCCCCAAAAATCTAGTTAAGGAAACATGATCAAATAGTTGCCTACTTCACACTGCAGCCAAGCGATGTGCAATTCAACTCAACAGACGCATCCAGTATCAATAGAACAGAGTTGATATAGAACACCACGTAGGCATATCTATAGTGCAGAGCGTTGTTGAGCAGTCATGGAACAGTATTATAGATTAGAATATACAGTTGATATAGAATAGAAAAGAGTCTGATATAGAATAGAGTGGATACAAATCATAATCTATATTCTCTCTACTTTCCACTGATGATGATACTGCAAATGGACTGTGCAGGTTATTGGTGGGAGATATATACTTCTATTGGCCTAGATATTTCTGGTTCGATTGTTGCTGTTTTTACTAAAAGGGGCACAGTGCATCAGTGGAAAGAGCCTGCATTAGTGGACTGACTAACATGCTATGGAAAGGACTAAAACACATTACCAGACAGAATATTGGTGTTCACAGTATATCTGGCGTATGACATTAACGTGGTACAAATGAAGATTTGTTATGGACAACACCAAAAAGCAACAGGCTTGGAGCCAACCTACAGCTGTCAGTATCCAATCAAACCCATAACAGGTCTCTTACCTTCCAACCTTACACCTCTCCTCTTTGGTCTCCTCTCGGTGGGAGGGATATTTGGCTCTCCCTCTCCGCTGTGCATGCTCCAGAACACCGGGTTTACCATAGAACGTGGCGTTGGAGTACACCTGGACACCAGATCTGGCTGATCCTAGTACTTCATACCCCGGGTTGGAGGCAGAGACAGGCGGAGGAGAGGAGGACAGCTGCACACTGTGGAGACCCTCAAAAGCATCCATTTTTCCCAGGCAGAGAAACACTAATCCAACCGCAGTTTACCGGTAACGTCAGTTTACTGTGAAGGTTCTGGCTTTTGTGAGATCAAATAATAAGGGATGAGTTCTTCCACCTTCAGTCTTGTTTTCCTTTCGCCGTGTGCTGTAGGAGGACCCCCTCACTTCACTAGGCATTTACCTGGGGAAAATACATCTACTTTACTAGAATAGAATATGATAGAGCAGAATAGATTAATAATATAATAATATGCCATTTAGCAGACGCTTTTATCCAAAGCGTCTTACAGTCATGCGTGCATACATTTCTTGTGTATGGGTGGTCCCGGGGATCGAACCCACTACCTTGGCGTTACAAGCGCCGTGCTCTACCAGCTGAGCTACAGAGGACCACGAAGGACCCAGATTAGAAAATACTTCGGTGGAATTCAACCTGCCATATTATAATGAGGCCCAGGCCTACTTTTAATAAACCGAACCGTCCACTCCCCTCCCGCTGGGGACCTCCCCATAATCTTCAGCAGGTGCCCCTCTCTTGGCCAACACTAGCCGACTGAACTCATCTCCACGATTTGAGCGGCTACTAGTGTGGGCGGACTGGAGCTCCGTTGTCACATAAAAAAAAAGTTTTTTTTTTTATTGTGTTTTTTTAACTACCGATTTCGAAACCCAAAGAACAGCACGCAATTAACACAGAACAATGTCGTGTGTGTAAATCATTTAATGACGTCAGAGCTCCAGTCCGCCCATGGAGTTGAGTCGGTCATGCCAGCACCCAGAAAAATGAAAGGGTTGTTATTTTCTCTCATACAAATACAAATTAACGCGTTCGACAATCATACCCTAGTTCCTTTTTTTTTTGTTATGAATGCCTATCGGTTTAGATGATTCATTTAGACAAGTTTACAAATTGATTGGCTGTACAGACGCTTTTGCAAAAGCTAAACGTTGTTGGCTATGGAATGCATAAGGTGCAGCAACTCCCCATGTGTGGTTCAAACTTGATAGCTGGTAGATTCATTTTTGGTGAAATACTGAACACAATCTCAAAATCTTCTTAATCTTAGTGACCCATATGTCATTCGACCGAAAGTTGCGGAGGGCAGGAAAAAACAAAAAACAGCACAGTCCGAAGTTCAGCCTCTGGTTGTTGTTCCCTTGATCCACGGTGAACGGCGTTAATTACTAACACCTTCGCTCCTGGTGACCTGCAATGCGCATTGCTACCACTAGGCGTCTGCCGAGAGGTTTGACTCATAGATAATGACAAAGTCCTCTAGTGGTCAAAAAGGTCCTTTTAGCGTGTGGGCAGCGCCATTGATGGCTTCCACCATGCCTCCGCCATTTTAAAGTAGTGAAAGTAGTCAGCTGGGTGGGGATTCCCATTGGGTTGTAGCCCCAATGGACCTGCCCATGCTGTCACAGACGCTATAATGGCACAGATATAAGTCCTCTATCTATCTCTATGGTTTGACCACTCTGAGTATTTCTGTGGTTAAGATGTATCCTTTTGAAGAATTCCAGTGGAGGCTGCTGAGGGGAAAACGGCTCATAATAATGGCTGGAACGGCGCGAATGGAATGACATGAAACCATGTGTTTGATGCATTTGATACCGTTCAACTTATTCCGTTCCAGCCATTACCACGAGCCCGTCCTCCCCAATTAAGATGCCACCAATCTCCTGTGGTATGTGATATTATTTTGGTAATAAATTGAGCTATGGGTTTTTTTTGGTTGGCTGTGACATGGTGTAGACTGGCATCCACTCACACATTTTGCCAATAAAAATGGTGTTGTTACATTTAACTTTTATTTGTTTTAATGTGTGTTGTGTTGTACACAGATTTGTTGAGATTAGCTCGGTACCAGGCCTCACAAAGCAGCTTTGTTGCAGAAACAGCTTAACACATCAAGTGACCGGAGGTCTGCAAGTCCCTCTCCCACATCCGTCGCTCCACCATTCAGACTGGCAACACACTTTCCCTTAACGCACAGTGAGTATATCATAAATAATCAATCTGATCAATCAATCTATAGTTATCTGATGGACACAATGGAATGTAGATGAAGGCCTGTGAATATATGTTGCTATAATGTATGTGATGCACAGTGAGTATATTGTAAATATAATAAATAATCAATCTGATCACTCTATAGTTAAAGTTTAGATTCAATAGAGTGAAGATTTAGATGAAGGAATACGAATATTATGACTATGTTCTCGACTGAGTTGGAAAGCTTGATTGTAGGGCTCTATTGATTTATTGTGGATATCTCTGTATCACAGGAGGTTGGTGGCACCCTAATTGGGGAGGACGGGCTCGTTCTAATGACTGGAGCGGAATCAGTGGAATGGTATCAAATACATCAAACACGTGGTTTCCATGGTTTCCAGGTGTTCGATGCCATTCCATTTGCTCTGTTCCGGCCATTTTTATGAGCCGGTCAAAGTTGCTAGATGACTCTGTTAATTACCCACAATCTTACTTCCCCTCTCTCTCCATCTTGTGCTGAACTTTACTCTCAATAGCACCATGTCTTCAGATAGTGGATCCATTAGCTAATATCTAATTATAAGAATTGTCTCTCCGGATAGTTTGTTATCAAGTAGATATGTGATCGAATCAGCCGTATGTGTCACTGTCAGTGTTTTGGAAAGTTGACTTGTAAAGCAGACAGACAAAGTGACAGTAGTTGATCATTTTGATACACCAAGGGCAGCTTTCTCAAAGTCAGTTACCCAGCCATCCATCCAGCCAGCTCTCCATCCATCCAGCCAGCTCTCTATCCATCCAGCCAGCTCTCCATCCAGCCAGCTCTCCATCCATCCAGCCAGCTCTCCATCCATCCAGCCAGATAGCTCTCCATCCATCCAGCCAGCTAGCTCTCCATCCATCCAGCCAGATAGCTCTCCATCCATCCATCCAGCCAGCTCTCCATCCATCCAGCCAGCTCTCCATCCATCCATCCAGCCAGCTCTCCATCCATCCAGCCAGCTCTCCATCCATCCAGCCAGCTCTCCATCCATCCAGCCAGCTCTCCAGCCAGCCTGCCAGCTCTCCATCCATCCAGCCAGCTCTCCATCCATCCAGCCAGCTCTCCATCCATCCATCCAGCCAGCTCTCCATCCATCCATCCAGCTCTCCATCCATCCAGCCAGCTCTCCATCCATCCAGCCAGCTCTCCATCCATCCATCCAGCTCTCCAGGCAGTGACGGGTAGCGATGACGGTAACGTATTCGCGGAGGGTTGCTGACGCGGGGCTAGGGACCTTCTCTCATCTCCTCCTCCGATGGAAGGGAAGCATCTACAAGCTGCTGTGGAGAGAACTGATCATCTTCACTACACTGTACTATTCCTTCAGCATCATATACAGGTAACCTCACCATTTACACAGGTAGCCTCATTATTTACACAGGTAACCTCATTATTTACACAGGTAACCTCGTCATATACACAGGTAACCTCGTCATATACATGTAACCTCGTCATATACAGGTAACCTCGTCATATACATGTAACCTTGTCATACACAGGTAACCTCGTCATATACATGTAACCTCGTCGTTTACACAGGTAACCTTGTCATACACAGGTAACCTTGTCATATACACGTAACCTCGTCATATACACAGGTAACCTCGTCATATACAGGTAAACTCATCCTTTACACATTTAACCTCATCTGATCTAGAAGACAGACGGTCTGTCTTACCTCTTTACAGTGTATTTCTTTGCTTTTATTGCTGGTCCCTTCAAATCAAAGATCACAGCAACTTTGTACAATCAAATGCCTGGGAACATTGTGGGTATATTAGTTACCCCTATCTTTCTGCAGTTGTTGTCACTCCCTCCCTATCATACTGAATCATACAGGAGCTTAGTTAACTTTGTGACAGAACTGTTCTCTCCAGGTTTGTGTTGAATGAGGGTCAGAAGAGGCTGTTTGAGAAGCTGGCCATCTACTGCGACCGTTACGCAGAACTCATCCCTGTGTCCTTCGTATTGGGTGAGAATACATGGCGTCTGTTCTGTTCTATTCTGCTGTGTTCTGTTCTGTTCTGCTCTGCTCTGTTATGTTATGTTCTGCTCTGCTCTGCTGTGCCCTGTTCTGCTGTGCTCTGTTCTGTTGTACTCCTGTTCTGTTCTATTCTGCTCTGCTCTGCTCTGCTCTGCTCTGCTGTGCCCTGTTCTGTTGTACTCCTGTTCTGTTCTGTTCAGTTCTACTATATTATGTCTAACTGCTTTGTGCACAGCAGGGTTGGGGTCAACTCCATTTCTTAAATTCCAATTCCAATTGTCCTCATTGCTTACAATTGGATTGGAATGTCTTTTTACTTCCTGAATTGAAGCGTGTCAAAGAACAACGTTGTGGTCCAGCACCTTTCTGAGGTCTCTGTACCTCTTCTTCATTGTTCTTTCTTTGAAAGCAAAGAATGTAAAACGATTCAAATAGCTACAGTTGAAGACGGAAGTTTACACACACTTAGGTTGGAGTCATTAAAACTTGTTTTTTCAACCACTCCACAAATTTATTGTTAACAAACTATAGTTTTGGCAAGTCGGTTAGGACATCTACTTTGTGCATGACACAAGTAATATTTCCCAAACAATTGTTTACAGACAGATTATTTCACTTATAATTCACTGTATCACAATTCCAGTGGGTCAGAAGTTTACATACACTAAGTTGACTGTGCCTTTAAACAGCTTGGAAAATTCCAGAAAATGATGTCATGGCTTTAGAAGCTTCTGATAGGCTAATTGACATCATTTGAGTCAATTGGAGGTGTACCTGTGGATGTATTTCAAGGCCTACCTTCAAACTCAGTGCCTCTTTGCTTGACATCAAAAGAAATCAGCCAAGACCTCAGAAAAAAATGTGTAGACCTCCACAAGTCTGGTTCATCCTTGGGAGCAATTTCGAAACACCTGAAGGTACCACGTTCATCTGTACAAACAATAGTACGCAAGTATAAACTCCATGGGACCACGCAGGCCGCCATACCGCTCAGGAAGGAGACGCGTTCTGTCTCCTAGAGATGAACGTACTTTGGTGCGAAAAGTGCAAATCAATCCCAGAACAACAGCAAAGGACCTTGTGAAGATGCTGGAGGAAACAGGTATGGATATATTGAAGCAACATCTCAAGACATCAGTCAGGAAGTTAAAGCTTGGTCGCAAATGGGTCTTCCAAAGTTGTGGCAAAATGGCGTAAGGACAACAAAGTCAAGGTATTGGAGTGGCCATCACAAAGCCCTGACCTCAATCCTATAGAACATTTGTGGGCAGAACTGAAAAAGCGTGTGCGATTAAGGAGGCCTACAAACCTGACTCAGTTACACCAGCTCTGTCAGGAGGAATGGGCCAAAATTCACCCAACTTATTGTGGGAAGCTTGTTGAAGGCTACCCGAAACGTTTGACCCAAGATAAACAATTTAAAGGCAATGCTACCAAATACTAATTGAGTGTATGTAAACTTCCGACCCACTGGGAATGTGATGAAAGAAATAAAAGCTGAAATAAATAATTCTCTCTACTATTATTCTGACATTTCACATTCTTAAAATAAAGTGGTGATCCTAACTGACCTAAGACAGGGAATGTTTACTAGGATTAATTGTCAGGAATTGTGAAAAACTGAGTTTAAATGTATTTGGCTAAGGTGTATGTAAACCTCCGACTTCAACTGTATGTGTTGGGCTTTAGCTGAGATTATTCTTTACAGAGTCAAGTACTGTATATTTGTCCAGGCCTCCATTGTTCCTTGAATAGCACCATTCATTCTCACTGTCGATAATTCTAATGTCTTAACTTCTAATAGTAACTGTATCCCTTGGTGAATTGGGAGAGAGTGAGATGATTGCCATCTAAGAGCCAACATCTTTTTTTTTTGCAGCAGTGCTGCCTGCCAGCAGTAATCGTCTCTGATTTAATTGAGAGATGAAAGGAGCTATCATCGTTAAGTAACATAATATAAATTCTGCCGGTTAAAGCAACTGGGATATTAGTCCATCTACTGAGGTCAGATTTAATTGATTTTAGCTTTCTGTTAAAGTTTCTGGTAATGGTTTTCTCTAAGGAAGGAAATATATCTACTCCCAAATATTTAAAATGGGAAACGATAGGGATTCCATAAGTAGAGATGGAGTCCTCCATCGTGGTCTTGAGAGGTAGTAGGGCAGATTTGGTTAGATTTATGATCTTCAATGCATTTGGGAGCGATTGAGATAAATTGTCTAGATCTACACTACCAGTCAAAAGTTTTAGAACACCAACTCATTCAAGGGTTTTTCTTTATTTTTACTATTTTCTACATTGTAGAATGATAGTGAAGACATCAAAACTATGAAATAACACATATGGAATCATGTAGTAACCAAAAAAGTGTTAAACAAATCAAAATATATTTGAGATTCTTCAAATAGCCACCCTTTGCCTTGATGACAGCTTTGCATTCTCTCAACCTGCTTCATGAGGTAGTCACCTGGAATGCATTTAAATTAACAGGTGTGCCTTCTTAAAAGTTAATTTGTGGAATTGTTTTACTTCTTAATGCGTTTGAGCCAATCAGTTGTGATGTGACAAGGTAGGGGGGAGGGGGGGGGGGGGGGGGGGGTATACAGAAGATAGCCCTATTTGGTAAAAGACCAAGTACATATTATTATGGCAAGAACTGCTCAAATAAGCAAAGACAAATGACAGTCCATCATTACTTTAAGACATGAAGGTCAGTCAATACGGACTATTTTAAGAACTTTGAATGTTTCTTTAAGTGCAGTCGCAAAAACCATCAAGCGCTATGATGAAACTGGCTCTCATGAGGACTGCCACATGAATGGAAGACCCAGAGTTACCTCTGCTGCAGAGGATAAGTTAATTAGAGTTACCAGCCAAAAGCAGCCAACAAGTGCTCAGCATATGTGGGAACTCCTTCAAGACTGTTGGAAAAGCATTCCAGGTGAAGCTGGTTGAGAGAATGTCAAGTGTGCAAAGCTGTCATCAAGGCAAAGGGTGGCTATTTGAAGAATCTCAAATGTAAAATATATTTTGATTTGTTTAACACTTTTTTGGTTACTACATGTTTCCATATGTGTTATTTCATAGTGGAGATGTCTTCACTATTATTCTACAAAGTAGGAAATAGTGAAAATAAAGAAATACCCTTGAATGAGTAGGTGTTCTAAAACTTTTGACCGGTAGTGTACACTGAAGAAAAATATCAACGTAACATGTAAAGTGTTGGTCCCATGTTTCATGAGCTGAAAAAAAAAAATCCCAGAAATGTTCAATACGCACAAAATGCTTATTTCTCTCAAAATTTGGCACAAATTAGTTTACATTCCTGTTAGTGAGCATTTCTCCTTTGCCAAGATAATCCATCCACCTGACAGGTGTTAAAGGGAAATTTCATAAGCCACCTCCAATGTCATTTTAGAGAATTTGGCAGTACGTCCAACCGGCCTCACAACCACAGGCCCGCCAAGCCAGGACCTCCTCCACATCCGGCTTCTTCACCTGCGGGATCATCTGAGGGGAGGGGAGGGGAGGGGCGGGGGCGGGGTCCTGAGGAGTATTTCTGGGCTGGGCCAGCTGCCAAGTGGTTGGGCCTATGCCCTCCCAGGCCCACGCATGGCTGCACCCCTGCCCAAATATGTGAAATCCATTGATTAGGGCCTAATGAATTTATTTCAATTGACTGATTTCCTTATAATAACTGTAACTCAGTAAAGTATTTGAAATTGTTGCATGTTGCGTTTATATTTTTGTTCAGTATCGTAAAATATCGTCCACATATGAGATGAAGTGATCAATACATTTTTGGGTAATTTATGTTATTTCCTTCGATTGATGAATTGCCTGGTCCAGGGATTCCATGGATAATAA